CAAAGAGCGAGTTGGTGCGCGACCGGGGCATGGGCGAGCTATTCACATTCGTGGTGTTGTTGTTATTGGTGGTATTGTCCCGAAAACGGGATGTAGTCGGCGACATTGTGGGCGAGGCGGGGCGCGGAAAGCGAGTGGCACAGGGCCTGGGCTGGATATCGCCGACATCATTGGCGTTGTCGTCCGTCGTCGAAAACTCAAGCCTCAGATGAACGAGCACGACGTCAGTCTCAGTGGGTGGGAGAAAGAACCAGCCGGAAAGGAGATGCTTGATTTGGTCATGATTGGTTGGGAGGCCGGGAGTTGCCGGGCTCGGTTCAAGTTTCAAGTTCAAATTATGGTGGGGTATTAACATATCTGCGGCATAGATAGTGTAGGAAAGCCTCGGTGGATCATGGTGAATCGTCCCTGTTACGTCAGGTAGAGTACTGCGTAGACAAGGGGAAGGCGGGGGTTCGAATCCCTCTCGAGGCATAAGTGTTTTATCATGCAACACATTTTCTCGCTGTGCAATTTCTCCCCACTCGAAACCTAAATAGACTTCACCTGAACTCAAACTCACACTGACTGATTGATATTTTATTCGGGACGGTCTATTTACAACATCCTTTAAATTTCGTACTACAATACCTATCCTCAAATAAGAGCAGGAACGCCTTGGTGGATTGTTGGTTGATCATCCCTTCTCCGTGCTCGGAGGGTCCATGTCTATGAAATCATGGGAAGACGAGGGTTCGAGTCCCTCCCGGGGTATGAACAGCCGGTAAGAATGACTGTCTCTTTTTTCCTTACCTGGGGCAGGTTTTTCTGCATCAATTTTACATTAATTTCGTGCGGTTCTATCCATTGAAGAACGTGATTAACTAGCACTAGGAAAGAGTCCGCGGTATTTTATTTCATTATTTTGGATGGTGACGGCTGAAGCAGAGGTAGGCGACCTGCATAAAAATCACTGCACCCATTCAACCTCCAAAATATGGAGAATAAGCCTTGGTGAATCAATTGGCAGATCCCAGCGTATCATTCAGAATATACGGGAAGACGGAGGTTCGAATCCTCCCCATGGCATATGACCTGAAGATGTGGACTTTTGTTCTTGCCTTAGTTATTTTACCCCTTTTTTCATTCGAGAATCACAACATGCCGGCCTGTGCATTCATCTACACATGTAGAATTGCCATACCAATTGAAGTCTCCATTCAATTTTGTTTGCTCCAATTTTCAATAGTAGCTGACAGGTTGCACGGGGACACTCAATTCGTACAGAAATGACAGCACTTAACCAAGTTCGAAATGTGGGGAATGAGCCTCGGTAGATCAATTAGCAGATCATCCCCATTTAGTTATTTGACTTCGAGTTGCACCTGATAATACCACATTTACTGTCTAGTTAGGCTTTACGTGTAGCTGCACGTAAAGCCTAACTAGCCCTTTCTTGACTGGTTTGCGTACTACGGAGCTACCATGTACATGCAGTACATATATAGACATATTCTACTGAGTCTACCACGGATTTTAGCAACATGCTGAGTGACTTGGGCATTTTCCCCACCATACCATGCACACCTTGGAGGGTACAGGGTGCATGTTATGGGGGCAAAAAATACTGCAGGTACCACACGACATGCTGGTGACTGCGTGACAAAATCAAGGGGGGGGGGTTATGTGGCTGTGGTACTGCAGCTACTATGGGTGCACAGCTCACCAACATGTGCAGGGTAAATCTACCATGCATACCTCAGGAGCCAGGGAACATGTGTGACTGGTGATATCTGGCGGCGCTGTGTGGGGCTGTGCTACTGCGCCTACTATACGGCAGGGGCTCAGGGGTACATGGCATGGTATTCTACCACACATACCATGGCCCAAAGGCCCTTTTTTTTGTGCCCCCCCCTATCACCTGCATCGCATCAATGCATGTGGCGGTGCTTCAATCCCGCCATCAACAAGACTAGTTGGGCGGGACATATACCACACATACTATGCATACCATGCACATCACTGTACTTTGCTTTCTGAAGTCTCACATACCATGCCTACCATGCATCCACCAATACCTCACCTACACCATTACACCAGCATCAGCTGCATCAGGTTGATGTTGTTTGGCTGTGCTTGACTCCCACCCTCAGTGAGCAGGACATGTACTGCACATACCATGCATACTGCACATATGTCATCCTGTACCATGGTGGATGAATTCCTTTTTGGGGCACTAATGCTTTCTTCCCAAAAAGGAAATTTTGGACATCAACCCTTCCCTGGCTCATAATTAAACTGTTTTAGATGGTCTAGCCTTATAGGCATGTTGTTATAGGTTCTTTGAAGTCAACTGGGATACATTAGATCCTATTACAGTGCAATAATAGGGTGAAAATAGCGAAAATTGATAAATTGAGTTCTGGCCATAATATCTTGGGGATATACTGATATAAGTAGCTCCTGGATGTATTACTTTGCTCTCTTAGGCCAATGAAACACCCTCCAGTTGATGTCTTATCTTCTTCTGATGGAAGACATCACAATTTGGCCCTAAAAGGAAATTGCACTTTGGGCCTATCATGCCCTCCTCCATGGTGTGAGATATCCCCAAACACATCTTTTGGAATTGACTCATGTAGGTATAGTACCAAAGTAGACAATGGACACCCAGGGCACCCTATACCTCATGATTTGAGGTGATCTTGTCTAACATTCCTTTTCACCATAGTCAGCATGCCACTAGGCCATAGGTGATGTTCTAAAGGCTCTTACTGATTGTCCTGAGCTATATAAACAGTTCTGAGCCAAAATGGAGGCCAATATAGCATGGTAAAACTCGAAATTGCCAAATGGCACTTTTTACTTATTTCATAAATAGGGCACCAAGGAGACCATTTGGTGCGAAGTAAACAATGGGACTGGCAAGAGGCAATGTAAATGACTTGAATTGAGCTTTTGGTCAAGTGTTTTGGTGAAATTTTGGCTGAATTCTGTTTCCGAGGATATGGGTTTGAGTGAAACTTTGATTCATATATTGTCCATGGCTCAAAACACCATCTGGCCAAATCTGGACCAAAACACTTGACCAAAAGCTCAATTCAAGTCATTTACATTGCGTGGTATTATCAGGTGTCGAGTTGCATAACCGGGAAGACAGAGGTTCAAATCCTCCCAAGGCATTGATCGAGTCTTGAGACGTCTTTTTGTTCTTGCCTGAATTTTTTTTCCATTGTTTCAATTCATGTGCTGCTCCATCAGCTCAGATGTAGAATGGCCAAGCCAATTGTAGTCCACATTCACTTGCGTTTTGCTCAGATATTTTGTTGATCGGCAAGGATGAAAAATCGACCTGCACTAGTATGAAAATTACTGCATCTATCCAACCTCCATAGAAGTGTTAAATAAGCCTTGGTGGAACAATTGGCAGATCGTCCCAGTCTATATTCCAAGGTGTTCTATGGAGTTCATGGGAAGGCGGAGGTTCGAATCCTCCCCAAGGCATACACAACGTGTTCGGTGACTTTTGTTCTTGCCTTTATTTTCCCGTTTTTCATTCAAAAATCAGAACATGCCAGCTTGCGAATCCGTCTAATAATACACATGTTCAACTGCCAAATCAGTTGAAGTCCCCATTGATTCCAGTTTTGTGGGCTCAGATATTAGGTCAACCGATGAGATTGAAAAGAGACAGGCAGCTCGCACGGCAATCACAACATCTATCCAACCCCCAAATACAGAGAATAAGCTCTGGTAGATCAGTTGGTAGATCATCCCCACTCAGTCACTGAGGACTACAATAAGATTTCATCTTTCGAATGGGAAGATGGGGTTCGAATCCCTCTCGAGGCAAAATGGGGATGTTCCCACTTTTTTCATCCAAACACATTACGCAGATTATTTTCTTGTTTTAAAATACCCACCCCTCCGTACAATACATCTTTTTCTGCACGCGACCCGGATAAATTTCACCTGAACTCAAATTCACACTGATTGATTGATATTTTATTCGGGGCGGTCTATTTACAACCTCCTTTTGCACTACAACACTTATCTTCAAATAAAAGCACGAACACCTCGGTGGATAGTTGGTAGATTATCCCTTCTCCGTCCTGAAAAGCCATGACATTATGGGAAGATGAGGGTTCAAATCCCTCCCGAGGCATTACTATGTCATATGCCTCTTTTTTCCTCACCTTATGTAGTTTTTTCTGCATCAATTTTACATTAACTTTGTGCAGTTCTATCCATTCAAGGACGTGATTAACTAGCACTAGAAAAGAGTCCGCGGTAATTTCATTCATTAATTCTGATGGTCGAGCCACTCAAGCACAGGTAGGTCTACAGCTCGCACAGAAGTCAGTGCACCCACCCAGTCTCGAAAAACAGAGAATAAGCCTTGGTGGATCAATTGGCAGATCATCCTTACCTAATGGAAGCTCGGTGCAGTAGGTACGTGGGAAGACGGAGGTTCAAATCCTCCCTGAGGCATGCCTTAATTTGGTGGGTGACTTTTTGTTCGTGCCTTATTTTTTCGCCATCTTTCATGCGAAACACACCAGTCTGTGTTTTCATCAACATCATGAAGAAAACCAAATGGAGTCCACATTCATTCAATTTTGTGCAGTCCACCGACAAGGTCGAAAAGAAAACAAGCAGCCTGTGCAAATATCTGCCGCACATATCTAACCTCGAAAGGTAGGCAATCAGCCTTGGCGGATCAACGGGCTGATCATCCCTACTCAATGCCGCAATGCTGTGCTATCCTGAAGAGGGGGGTTCGATTCCTCTCCAGGGCATATGCTGTGAATATGTTGGGTGACTTTTGTTCTTGCCTTAGTTATCTTACCCCTTTTTTTTCACTCGAGAATCAGAACATGCCAGCCTGTGCATTCATCTACACATGTATAATTGCCGAACCAATTGGAGTTCACATTGATTCAAGTTTTGTGGGCTCAGATATTCAGTCGACCGACGACGGAAATCACAACACCTATCCAATCCCAAAATACAGAGAATAAGCTTTGGTAGATCAATTGGCAGATTGTCCCAGTCTTATACTAAAAGTCGTCTGCATAGTCCATGGGAAGGAGGAGGTTCGAATCCTCGCCAAGGCATACATAACGTGTTCGGCGACTTTTTGTTCTTGCCTTTATTTTCCCCGTGTTTTATTCGAAAATCAGAACATGTCAGCCTGTGAGTCCATCTAATAATATACATGTTGAACTGCCAAAGCAGTTGAAGTCCCCATTGATTCAAGTTTTGTGGGCTCAGGTACTCGATCGATCGACGAGGTTGAAAAGAGACACGCAGCTTGCACGGAAATAGCAACACCTATCCAACCCCCAAATACAGAGAATAAGCTTTGATAGATCAATTGCAGATCCTCTCCACTCAGTCACTCAGTAGTAGAATCTTTCGAACGGTAAGACAGAGGTTCGAATCCTCCCCAAGGCAAGCCACATCAAACAACTTCGGGTTATTTGATCCGTTCTTTTTTTTTTTTTTGCTTTCTTCCTTCTGGCCTGTACTGTACACATTCAGGGTGCCAGCCGTTTGTGTGCAGTCGACCGAGTACTTAGAAAAAAGAATTGATCTGAGCTTCAGATTAATTTTTCTTTTTCTAAGGCTGGTGACAAGGTTGAAGGAGACACTGGCCAATGCACAGAAATTGTTGTGCTTATCTATCCTCGAAATATAGAGAACAAGCCTTGGTAGATCAATTGGCACTCAGTGACTCTCCCGATAGTGTCTCATGGGAAGACGGAAAGGTTTGAGTCCTCCCCAAGGCATAATCCATAGTCTTGTCATGGAATATCTTCCCTCGCCGTTCACCCTATTTACAAAAAACCACGGGCGACTTGCTTCGGACAGGACCAAAAGTTTCACCTCCAGTCAGTACGAGTCAGTGCTGGCTGCCCGTATTATTTTTCAGGGGAATCAAAGGAATTATAGCAAGCAAAATTCATTGCATCTATCCAACCCACAAATAAATGTATAAATCTTGGTAGATAGATGGTACAGTAGAATCATACTAGATTGCGAGGGAAGTGCACCAGTACGACACACGTCAGGAACTCGGAACTGCGACACACATCGACGAAGGTGTCCGTGGCAGCATGGAACTTGACTGGGCACAGTGGAAGTGCGTAGGCGCCTCGTTGCATCATCGATGGATGGCGATAGCGAGCGTGAGGGCAGAGGAGACAAGACGCCACGAGGCACGGTGAGAAAAAAAAAGACGCCGCGACGCACGACGAACTCACCTGGGGCAGCGTTGGAACTTGCGTGTGGACGAACAAGTGCGCACGGGAGGTAGGCCCGACGGATGCCGATACCAAAGGGCAGCGAAAAGAAGGAAACACAAGGAAACGGGAGGACGAGGCAGGGTGAAGGGTTAAATGAAGGGCGAGGATAGATGAAAGGAGGGGAAATAAAAGAAAGCAACGGAGGAAGAACTCACCCAAGCCTTCCCAGCTTCTCCTTGCCTATGAACGGCCACCCACGCGCCGCCCTCGCTGCCGAGGTACGAGGTAAGCGGTGCAGACGTCCAGCGCTTGAGCAAGGTGACGTTGTTTATTGCTTTATTGTCGGGTGTGGTGCCTGTCGCATCAAATGCAATTAGTGGCAGGGAATATAAGGATAGAAAGAAATGCACCCAACCCAGGTGCACGCGGCGGCGCCCTCGGGCTCTCTGCCCCCGCATCCCCATACGCCATCCCTTCGCTCGAGCTCAGGGTGCACGAGTAGTGGTGCCCGCGGTACTCGCCCCCTTCCCACCGCTGCCCCCTCCATTCCCGACCCTGCTAGCGGTGGCGTTGCTGCTCATGCGCTCGCGATGCAGTGAGGGGTGCGGCGGCGGCAGGCAGTGGTGCCGCCCGCCATTCTGCTGCTGCGAGCTGGTGGAGTTGGAGTGCGTGAGGAGGGCGGTGGAGGTCGTGCGGATGAGGTATGGGTGTGCATTGGGCTTGAGGTTGTCGATGCTGGGACTGTGGTGTGGCGAGCCTATGGGCATAATGAATAAATTAATTTGGTAAGATTCGCAGTGGTAAGGATGTACCTCCAGCAGGGGAGTCGAAGAGCGAGTTGGTACGTGACCGCGGCGTGGGCAAGCTATTCACATTCGTAGTGTTGTTGTTATTGGTGTTATTATCCTGAAAACAGGATGTGGTCTGCGACTTTGTGGGCGAGGCGAGGCGGGGTGGGGAAAGGTGAGTGGCACAGGGCCCGGGCTGGATATCGTCGACATCATCTGTGTAGTTGTCGTCGAAAGCTCAAGCCCCAGATGAATGAGCACGACGTCAGGGGGGGGGGGGGTATATTATACTCGCATGGTCCAAATGTCTGAACAATGAGTTTACCGAAGACAAACGGGTAGTAATGTACGGGTGGCTATCCTTACATATACTACAAGATGTCAACGGAGCACACACCATTCCAGGGGGTCGGTGACGCTATGATTGGCTGTGAGCTGGCTGACCAATTGTATGGCAGGATATGTGGATATAACCTCGTGGGACCTGACCACAAGCGGAGTGCACAAGTGTACAGGAGGAGTCCCCTCCTCCCAGGTAAAATTCCTCACGCACCACCAGTCACAGTCCATTGTCGCCTGTCTTTCCCTTTGCAGAATGCATGCAGCAGCAGGCCAGTGTGTTCAACTTCCAAGGAAGGTCCACAACCGTGTCAGTCGCCCATCGTAATGGTCGACTGAACATGGCTTTTCGACCACCGCTCCCCACCAGCCGGCAAGAACACCGGATCAGCAGGCCATGGGAATGATCATGTGATCGGAGTCAGCGTGAGTCATAACCAGTCAATTCTGAGCACAGCTGCAATGAGTCATAACTAGCCATCACAGAACACAGCCACCTTGAGTCATCCGTGGTCACAGGCGAATGACTCTACTTGACTCAAATGGAATTGTATGTAGTCACATGGAATCATATGTAGTCGCATGGACTTTCTCGCCCTAGTATTCAAAATGTATAAATACAGCCTGAGATTGCCCATTAGAATGCATTCCCCTTTCGATCCCACTTCCAGTCCTCAGTTTCTACTGCCTTAGTATCCAGTCCAGCCTCTGGATTGCATACGGGTACAGATACTAGTCCACGCACACCACTGTCCTACCGAACCCACGCCTGGTATCTTGAATATTGTTTTCGTATTCAAGTACCCTTCTGTCTGCCGAACCTCTGTACAGCACTCTGAATATCGGTTATTCAAGTGCTCCTCTGTCTTCCGTCTTCCACATCGCCGTATAGTATCTCGAATATCGGTTATTCGAGCTACTTCCTTGCTTCCACACGTACGTCTTGGGACACCTCGAATATTGGTTATTCGAGTTGCCCCTTTTTCGTGCTTCCGCTTCCGACACTGCCTCCGATCTGCTAACTTCGCCTACGACTTCTGCTTTCATCTTCGACTTCGAACCTTCCTCACTCCCCACGTCAGTATCCCCTTCCCTCCATCTTTGATTCCCAAATTTGATCCCCACCCCACAACTATATACAAACGTGCTTCCGTCGAGCCTTTATAAATTTCACTTGGATTTAATTATTCGGGTTGAAATTGTTGTCAGTTGCATCTGCCCCTGACAACCGACAAAGGTCATCTCAAAAGATGGATAGGCCAGGGTATTCAAAGGTCAGAGCGCACAAGAACAAGAACATCAAACAAGTACGGCGGGGCGTGGCCAAAATCCAGTCAACAGAAAAATCGCGAAATTGCAGACCACGGTGTTGAACGAGAATAATAGCCACGAAAGCTTTAAGCAAGGGCCACACAACAGGAATGTAACAGTGAACACAGTCAGACCGGAGCAGATCACAACCAACACGGAGAAACACGGAGAGCAACCCGGTGACAGTTCTGGATGACAAATCGTGGGGGTCAAACGAGGCGGAATGGCGATGGTGAGCAACGGCCCCAAAAAGCTCCAAAAAGCTCCAACGGGAGCGAAACGACTGTACCCTTCTCGTACGGTTCCACACCATGCAATCACCCACAGGCAGTCGATAACGGATGGCCGCAAGGTACAACCAGCAAATCTCTCCACTTCTAGGGACCTCGAGCGCTGGCGGAGTTCATCGGTGGCGGTCACAGGCACCTCATGGAGAGCTGCCGCCCCATCTCGATTCACTCCATGGTGCCATCGAGTCAAAGGCACCCGGAGACGACCAAAAAGCTGCGAGGAAGACCCCAAACATGACCCAAAACGAAACTAAGAACCGATTCTTCGTCGTTCTATGAGTCAGGCCAGCCCCAGGAAGGTAGAAGAATTTGACATGAGAGCCCAGTCCGGAGCAAGTTCGATCGGATGAATTCCAGAAATTGGCATGGTGGTAAGAGGTAAGGTTGGTCAGTAATCAACACAGGGGGAGAAGACGATGACGTCATCCTGGGGACGCAGCGAGGGTGGAAGAGAGGAGGGACGGAGGGGATGGAGGGGAGAGGAGAGATGGAGCAGATAACGCACCGAAATTATTGTTGCTATCGCATGAACAGCGGTTCTTTGCGTGCTGGAGCTGCGGGCAATGCTGGAAGTCTCAGTGGGTGGGAGAAAGAACCAGCCGAAAAAGGAGACGCCTGATTTGGTCATGGTTGGTCAGGAGGCAGGGAGTTGCCGGGCTTGGTTCAAGTTTCAAGTTCAAATTATGGTGAGGTATTAACGGATATGAACCGCCACACATATCTGTGGCATAGATAGTGCAGGAAAGCCTCGGTGGATCATGGTGGATTGTCCCTGTTACTTGAGCCAGTAACAATTTTACAGCGGGAAGATGAGGGTTTGAATCCCTCTCGAGGCATAAGCGGGGATGCTAACAGTTTTTTCCATGCAACACATTACGCAGGTCATTTTCTCCCCATACAATAATCAACTTTCTGTACAATACACATTTGTTTTGCGCCGGACCCAGATAAACTTCACTTGACCTCAAACTCACTGACTGATTGATATTTTATTCGGGGTGGTCTATTACAACCTCCTTTCGCACTTACAATACCTATCCTCAAATAAGAGCAGGAACGCCTCGGTGGATCGTTGGTAGATCATCCCTTCTCCGTTCTTTTGAGCAATTTGGACTATGAGATCATGGGAAGATGAGGGTTCGAATCACCTCCCGAGGCATAAAGTATTGGTACTTGGCTTGTGGGCCATTGCTTCACATGATAGTACGAGTCCAATCTGTTTTGTTCTTCCGATAATAATACAATCTGAAAATTCAACTCAAATCACCTGGGCATATATCACTGGGCATAAGTCTCACATTGCATCGGACCTGACTACAAAGAGAGAAGATTTTGCTAGTCTACCATTCAACCATTTTGCAGTGCCGTCCTGTTAAAATCCCATCATGGTACTACATCAAACCGTGCCTGTCGAAGGCTATGGCGGTGAAATGACCCATACAGCACCGGGCGAATGATAAAATCAAACCGCAAAGTAATAGGTAGTTCCGCATCTCAACGAAGATTGAGCCGGAATTGATTACATAAATGAAGGCAGTTGGTGAGTTGTGGTCGACCGTGTCAGCTTTGAACCATTTGCACACCGTGGACATGAAGACATTCAACATTAGCCTGTTGAAGTGGCGTTCAAATCACTGAGATAACATTGGGCCAGCAGGATTGGCTACAGTTAATGAGCCGACTTTTGGTTATACGGTTGGGGCTCAGTCACCCTCAGTGAGGACGGTGAAGGAGGAAGTCGAAAAGACGAAGGAAGCTGCGGCGGGCAAGCGTGTTGAGTCTTGACGCACAGCCTCAAATGACGACACTGCTCACGGCCTTGTCCGGTCCCTGACTTGGTCCGGCCCATCCGGGTGAGAGTCAAGTGCCTGCTTTTGGAAAAAAAGATGCTCACGAGGTCTGTCGGAGTTCTAACCTAGATCAAAACGAGCACTGAATTTGATGAGATTTTGGCGGGTGGAGAGCTGACAAGAACGAGTCCTAAAGATATAGGACTCGTAAATACAGCCTGTCTTTTTTTCCCTCGTCTGCTGCAGGTTTTTCTGCAATAGTTCCTATAGTTGACTAAGTAGAACTAGGAGAACAAAGGCGAATCCGCGGTATTTTATTTCATTAATTCGGATGGTGATGGCTGAAGCAGAGGTGGGCGACCTGCATAAAAATCACTGCACCTATTCAACCTCCAAAAATACGGAGAATAAGCCTTGGTGGATCAATTGGCAGATCATGCCTACTCAATTAGGTGGTTTATACGTGGTAGGAAGACGGAGGTTTGAATCCTCCCTAAGGCATTCTGGGAACATGTTGCCCTTTTTTTCTTCTTCTTTTCTTCTTCCTTCTGGCATACATTACTGTATTATTTCAATCAATTCTACAGTCATGCGTCACAGGGGGGGTTGTCGATTGTGCTGTGTCACGGGTCACGGGGGTATCTGTCGAACTGCCCCGGCCGTTCGTCACGCCAAAAGGCGTTGAAGAGGCGCAAAAAAGCTTGATTCATCAGGAAAAAAGGGCTTTCATCAGTAGCGCTCGGTAGGCTCAGTAGCACTGATAGCCGGGTAGACAAGTCCCAATTATATGGTGCCTGGTAGCCCACCTATATGCGGTCAGTAGCCTGTGGTAGCCCTTGCACTAAATCTCAGTAGCCCTTGGTAGGTGCACCATACCACGACCACTTCAGTTGATAGGATAATCCTATTCTCATGTCGGGAGACTCATATGATTAATCCTATACTACACAACCAGTAGCTACTAATTACTGCATGGATCCAACATATCCTATCTATTATATGCAATGAGCAAGGAAGATAAGATGGGATCGAAAAATCCTATCCTACCCAACTTGTCCGGCAGGCTCACAGGAGGATAGGATAGGATAGGATATACTCACCTTGGAATGAATCTGTTCTCAAATCCCTAAACTAAATCTTGAGGACTATGATGTTAGTGATGCTCCAGCGGAAGCAAAATCAGACCCACGGTAGTTGAGAGCGATATGATGCGATAGGATGCGATAGGATAGGATAGAATTGGATTGGTGTATCTGGTGAGAAAATTGAGAGACAATGTTATTATTCAAGAAAAATGCACTCAGAGGAAACGCACTGTACTGCCCACATGGTATTATTTGGTGCCGCCGTCGACTTGAGGTGGGCCAGTGGCACAAATGCGGATTGTGCCACTCCATAACACCAGTCAGCCGTTCGAGGCTTTCCATGGGTCCAGGTGCTGGCGGTCCACATAAAGTGGAAGCGCGAGATCGAGGAGGAAGAGGATGGAGCGAAACGAAGGGAAAGGGTGTGAGACGAGGTGTGTACGTTGTGGGTGAGGTGAAAGAAGCGTTGTTTGGCTCTGTGGACATGATCACATCAGTTGAGAACAATTATCATTGTTCGTGCTTGGGCCAACTTGAAGCGACGCGGTCTAATAGGGCCCGATATGGCCTGTCGCCCCGGCTCTCCCACGCATTTTACTTTTTCAGAACACACCGAAATCCTAGTGCATTAGGAGAAGGCTTTTGAGCAGATTCACAAGTTAGAAAATCCCATTCTATCCTATCCACGCATTCTCTATTTTTCAGCACACCCCGCAATCTGGTTCATTACTTGTTGAGTAGGATAAGGCATTTGTTGAGATTCACCACTTAGAAAATCCCATCATGCAGTCAGATATCCCATCCTATCCTATCCACACATTTTATTTTTTGGAGCACCCCACAATCCGGTGCTTTACGTGTTGGGTAGGATAAGACTTTTGTTGAAATTCACCAGCCAGAAATCCCATCCTATCCACACATCTTATTTTTTGCGACACCCCACAATCTAGCATTTCCTGTGTTGGGTAGCATAAGACTCTGGGTGAGATCCACCGGTCAGAATCCCCATCCTATCCTATCCACACATTTTATTTTTGAGAGCACCCCGCAATCTGGGGATACAAACCGATCTCTCAGCAAGGCATCATTGGTTTCAATAAGGGTCAAGTCAGAATTTTAGTTTGAGATTTGTGAGGTAAATCTGTGGTTCAAAATCCTATCCTAACAACATATTACACAACAGTCGGTAAATAATCCTGTTGTGATGTTCAGAAGTCAACCATTGAACAACAAGAGGAGAATTCAGAGTCTACCTTCCAGCTGTCTGACAGTTTCATGTTCAGAAGGCCCTAGTAACAGTCCCCGATCACTGTTAATTGTTCTTTTGGTCAAGGTCAAAGCGCGCTTCTGTGCACCCACGCTCGAGCCCTTCCAAGCACCGTGAACTGTCAAAGCTCAGTTTCATTGTTTGGGATAGCGACCATTATTCTATTGCTGTTTTCAACGCGATCTATTGTGTCTCAGAAAGCCAAAGCACCCAATGAGTCACTGGGTTACATATGAGTGTGCCCCTCATTATCGTAGATTTATTTCCCCCGCTCCTACGCTTGACCTATGGCATCTGCGAGCACTGTTGACACTGACGAGACCCAGAACTCCTCGGTTCCTGCTATAGTGTGTTATGACCAAATTGACAGTGCACTTGAAGAATTCCTTCTCACTCTCGTACCATCCTATCTTGCTTTCGAAAAGCAAGTTCAGGCGGATAAAGCCAAAAGGGCCGCCGACCGCGAATTCAAAAAGGGATCCAAGAGACAGTTCCCTGCGTTGCCGTTGCCGATCCCAACCACAAAAGATCGAGGGATACTGTTATAACAAGGGTCTCGTCAAACAAACGGGCGAGACCGACAACGTAAAAAAGACCGCGCCGAAACCAGCCGCCAAGTACGCGATCGACATTTTCAGTGAAGAAAAGAAGGACCAGATCGCAGCGAGGGTCGCAGAGCTCATGGAGGGCGCCGATAAAGTGCCTGGGAAGAATCTCACGGTATGGCACACAGCGAGAGAGGAGCTTTTTGGACAGCTGGATGAAAAGGAGAAGTTGCTTTATCAAACGATTGTGGAGGAACGCAACAACAAGCTGAGGTATGGCCTCACACGAAGATATTTATCGGTAAGGGATTTACTGCGGTACAGTCGACGCTCAGTTGCTCACGAGTGCTTAGTAACCAGAGTGCAATTGTGGAGAACATTGCCATGGCCCTTTAACAATTGGACATGGCTGGACATGGCGATGTTTGATTTATTTTTATATAATTAAAAATAGTTCGGCCCCTTCGTGGCTGGGGTATACCGTGATTACTTGAATGATCTGAGAACATTTGCGTATGTTGAATTACGTCCCAGCTGACCAGGTTAGCTGATAATTCGACTCACAGGCTCTCAACGCAAAGAACAGCCAGGTGCGGCCAAATTCGCCGATCATATCAGCGACTTGATGCCAGATTTGCGCACTGGGTTGAAATCTTGGTGTCAAGAGGTGTTGCTGGGTACGTGCGCAGTGATCATGGCTCTGTTCTGAATATACAAACGAGCAGTAGCACTCAAAGACGCCGGGATGGTGCATGTCTCCATCGACGAGTCTCACGAACCGCGGCTCCACCGGTGGACAGAGGATACTCCACTGCGTCGTTTGTTGCTGGAATTTGCGATTGGAATCCGCAGTGAGCGAATATTTCGTAATTACGATTTACCAGACTTACTCGGCAACAGAGTGGTTCAAGGAAACCGTTCCAGAGAAGACGGACGGCATTGTTATCAAAATGGACTTGAAGTCCGAGGAGACTACTTCATCTTCAAGCTACGAGCAGCATTGTCCAGCAAACATGATGTCCAACCATTGACTGACTTGGAGTAGGAAAAGTTGAATGACATAAATCCCAACTCAATCCCAATGCAATCTGATGGCCAATTGTCATAGGATTGAGATAGGATCTATCCTACCTATTTCGAAACTAAACATTGTGGTTATAAAATACTACCAGCTCTGTCCAATCATTGACTGACTTGGATTGGGAAGGGTTGAACATAATCCTCACTCAATCCCAATGCAATCCGATGTCAACACTGATTGAGATAGCATTCAGCGAATCCTATTGTCACAAGCTCACGAGTCGTATAGGATTGAGATATAACACAAAGGTAGTGGGAACAGTTCAACAATATATTCTAATTCAATCTAAACTCCATCCAATGTCAATCCCAATTGAGGTAGGATTGGGGGGATCCTTAAGCTCACAGCTGGGATAGGATGGGATAAATGTGATTTGTAGCTGTACTTACGTGAATATATGGCCTGACCTGGCAGTATAGGATCGGTCCTAGCCCCCTCCCAAAGGTAGGGTGGGATTCATCCCAATGGCGTCAGCCATTGGCCTTTTTGTTCTGTACGCGCGCGTGGATGGGACACAAGCTCAAGGACTACCAGAGGTCGTGGAATGGATCAATGATACAGGCGTGCCCTTCCCCAACGCAGCGTGGAACTCGTACGCCGGCAACACGTCCGACCCAGCCACGACGCTGGTGCGCGTCAACTCGCAGCGGGTCGGACCTGACGGGAACCTGTGGCTGGTCGACACGGGAAGCCCGGGGTTCGGCAGCCCGGTGATTCTGCCCGCAGGGCCAAAACTCGTCGTGGTCGACCTGTCTACGAATCAAGTGAAAAGGGTGTACAATATGGCCAACGTCACCGAGAGCGCGAGCCTGCTGGACGACATCCGGTTCAACCCGGCGACGGGCATGGGCTACCTCACGGACGCGGGCGTGGGTGCGCTCATCGTGCTGGACCTGGACAGCGGGCGGGCGATCCGCGTGCTGGACGGGGACGAGTCGACGGGGGCGTTCACGCCGCCTAGCGGGGAAGGGACGCTGCTAAGGTCTTCAACGAGGGCGTTTACGTACGTTACGGCTGACCAGCTCGAGGTCAGCCCCGACGGGACGTACTTATACTGGCAGCCCGCCAGCGGGGGCATGTTCCACATCGAGACGCAGTACCTCGACGCTGCGTTTTACAACTCGAGCCTGGCGAATACGCTGGCGCAGTACGTCGAGCCGTTTGCGCTGACACCGAGCACGGGCGGGACGGCGATTGATGCCGAGGGGAGCATCTACGTGAGTGATACGGACAGGCAGGTGATTGAGAAGGTATACGCGAACGGGACGAGAGTGACGGTGGTGAGGGACGAGAGGTTGCTCTGGATCGATGCCATGTGGATCTCTAGTGATGAGAAGCTGTGGATGCCGGCTGCGCAGCTGAACCGGGGGGTGCCGTTTAGCCCTGGGGGAGTGAACCGGATCGTCACGCCTTTGTATGTCTATACGGTTGATATTGGGTTTGGACCATCGGGGATTGACCATGCGTGATCATACTGTGTTGTGGTATGAATATATGGCGTGTATTTATTGGTTGGACGGCGT